GGGGGAGAGGGGGAGGTAGAGAGACTGGGAGACAGGAGCCAGGGACAAGATAGAGTCCAAGGTCACACCCACCAGTGACCGACTTCCTCCAGCCACCCCATCTGCCCACAGTTACCACCAGTTCACTAGTTCTTTCAAAGTATTAATCCTTGATGTTTTATATCTGTAAAGCACCAATTTAAAAAACAATAAATAAATAAATAGAAGGAAGACCTGTAGAGTAAAGGAAGGGAAACAGGGGGAGGGAGAAGGAGGGAAGAAGGAAGTACTGGGGACACAAATGGAGCAAAATATATCCCCTGCATGTATGATTATGTCAAAACGAATCCCACTATTATATATAACTGTAATGCACTAGTAGAAACTTTTAAAAATAAAAAAAAGAATTAATCCATCAAATGGATTAACCCACTGATTAGTTCCCATAATCTAATTAACTTCTCAGCATTCCTGAATTTTTTATCACATGAGCTTATTGGGGACCCCTCATATCCAAACCATAATGGAGCCACTCAGCTGTGGAGTAGTTCAGAGCCTCCTATGCACAACACAGCTGGGCGGTCCAGCTGAGCCTGGGCTGGCTGTGGGCACACGACAGCTAGAATCCTCAGATATGGTGCAAGTTATTTTGCACAATGGAGAAAATGTGTGCTAAGTAAGTTTTCCCGGCCTGATGAGATGACCAACAGTGACACACATGGGTCTCCCCATCAGGGGACCCTACTGACTGGACATCTACAGTGAAAAGGCTAAGAAAGGAGAGACAGAGGGCCAGGCCTGGGTGGCCAACGCCCACCTCATCCTGGCCTGCAGGCTCTCTGGTCACAGGACTGCCCCCCACCCACCTGTCCCATCTCCTCCTACATCTAATCGGATCAAGTCTCCACTTTCTCTTGTCTTTACCAGAACTAGGAGGCTACTCCCAACGCCTCCTGGGCTCTCACCTTCTGAGGACCTCAGAGAAGCCAAGGGGGAAGTGGAATCCAGGGAGAGGACGTGGAGGCAACTCCGTCTGGTCCGTTATTTGGAGCTGCTAAGTCTTCTCTCTGGTCCTGGGTGAATACAGAGAATGGCCTCCTGGGGCAGGGGTGGGGACTGCCTGAGAGGGTCGACCTGCCACACCTCAGGCGGTTCCTGCTGCTCCCTGACTTTCCAGCCTGAGAAATGGACTGGCCCCAGGAGCTGCCAGAGCCCAGTGATGTGTGGAAGAGCGATTCAGTCAGTTGTTTCCATCTGTCTCGTGATTATACCTGGAATGTTCCCCAAAAGCTCACGTGTTGAAGACTTGGTCCCCAGTGCAGCATGTCCTGAGGTGGGCTTGGGGGACTGACTGGATCATGGGGCTCTAACCTCATCCATGAGTGAATCCACTGGATGGACTCATAATGTGAATGCACTGCTGGGAGATGGTGGAAACTGAAGGCAGTAGGGCATGGGTCGGGGAAGCAGGTCACTACAGGGGGCACCTTGGGGACCACGTCTTGTCCTTGGTTCCTTCCCCTGACCCGACTTCTAGCTTCCACAAGCTAGGCTGCTCTCCTCTGCCACACCCTTCCACCATGATTTTCTGCCTCACCTCCAACTCAAAAGCCATGGAGTCAGCCAACCCCAGACAGAGACTTCTGAAACCATGAGCCAAAGCAAACTTTTCCTCCTTGGATTATTCGTATCAGGAATTTTGGTCACATCAGTGTAAAGGTGCTCACACAGCATTAAGGATTTTTTAAGAGTCCTTTCGTCAATGCAGAGGAAGGAGACCACATGCTCTGTGGGGGCTGGCGCACTCACTGGTAAGTCTTTCTCTAGGGAGAAGGGCTCCTACTGTCCAACAGCCCGCTCCTGACCTGCTCTTGAGGGGCCTTTCAAACTCAGAGAAGGGTCTTGGGGTTCAAAAGTTTGTGCTCAAAGTTACGAGCACAAGAGTCTCTGAGGGATGAAGATCCGAGTTTCAGCCAGGGATCATCACCAGGCATGTTCTCCTGGAGTAGAGAGGTGCGTGTGCAGTGTGAGTGAGTGTGTGTGAGTGAGTGTGAGAGTGTGTGTTTGAGAGTGCGTGTGAGTGAGTATATAGTGTGGGTATGGTGTGTGAGTGTGTGTGAGTGTGGGTGTGTCTGTGGGAGTGAGTGTGGGTGTGGGGGGTATGTTGGTGAATGTGTATGTGTGTAGTGAATGACCACGAGAGAGTATGTGAGTGTGTACATGAGTGTGGGGGGGGTGGTGAGAGTCAGCATGCGTGTGGGAGTGTGGGTGTGCTGGGTAGGCATGCAGTGCCCCTGGCCCTGGCCCACAGCCTGCTCCCCAAGGGACCTGCACTCTGGGAGCCCAGCCTCCTGGGAATTCCTCCTGCAGCAAGGATGGTGCCTCCTCCCTAGGCCAGAGTGGCTGCAGCTCCCACCTGTCAAGGGAGAGGCGTGGGGCCCGAGCTGGTGGCTTGTCCCCAGGCCACATTTAGCCACTGGCAGCTGCACTCACCAGGGCAGCAGATTGCTTCCTAGGAGGGCAGAGGGCACAGGGTCAGGGGGCCTTAACTCCTCCAGCAAGTGTGTCTTTACATGGACTTTTTTTCCCCCACAGACTTCTAGATGGTTCTGAGCCACCAGGACAAGGTGGTGATGTCCTTCCCACCCCCGGGAGTCTTTCTAGAAGTGGGACCACAGAGGCTGCCTCTGGCCTCAGCTGTTCTCTCTTAGGAGCCTCTTTCTGGGCATTAACATTAAAAATGAAGAAAACACGAGATAAACAGTGAACAATAATCACAGAACAAATGTCAGGGACAGGACCTGTGGGCCACTGGAGACTGAGCCTCCGCTCCTCCGGGGACAGCGAGCACCTGAGGACGTAGTCATGGTGCCGTCACTGTGCCAGGTGGGACCGGCGTGGTGCTTGGAAAGCTGTGGGATTTCAGATAGTGTTTAACTCACTGCACACAAGAAGCTACAGCCGGGGAGTCCTGGGGCGGGTCCTTCTGCCTGGCTGCTAAGTGCTCCGAGGCTCTCCTACAGAGGCTCCTCTCCCATGGCTGAGTGGAAGCCACCAAAGCCCAGGCTTGGCACCACAGTCCCCTCAGCACCCCACCCTTCGCCTTTCAGGGTGGCGTGTGGAGCTCCCCTGTACTAGTCAGGTAAATTAAAAACTAAGGCAAGTCTGCACCTTGATAAAGTCTATCATAAAAGTAAAATAGAAGAATTAAAACTTTTTAAGGTTGAAATTTTCAAGTTTAAAACATTACCATTTATAAATACCATTTTTCATTTTAAAATAGCATATGAACTACAACAGGAAAGGGTGCTCAGGGAATGCCTGGGGAAGAGCTGACATTTGAGCTGAGACCCAAAAGATGGATGGAAGCCAAACAGATCCTCAGCAAATGTTTGTTGAATAAATGAGTAAATCTATTTTAAGCCAAAAAAAAAAAACAGGAAAAAATGTGTCCCAAGCCATCAGCACGAACACAAGGTGCTAAGTAAAAAAAAAAGAGCATCCTAAGAATGCCACCCCCTCTGCCACTTGCCGACTGCCCAGGCCTGTCCCTGCCTCCCCACCCCATCCTGGCCGGCTCTGCCATGGCCCTTACCCTCGAACGTACTGCCACTAGC